ACTATGTCCCAAGCTGTCCCACATTATGTCCCAATTGTCCCAAGCTCATCTGGGACATGTCCCAGCACAACACTGCCCTTAAAGATTGATCAATCAGATGGCATAATATTTATATATAAACTTTTTTTATTAATAAAAAAATAATCATTAATAAACTCCGGGTCTCCGGGTCGATTTTTAAAATTTCAATGTTACGTGAACCGAAAAATCGAAGTTGCATGATTTAACCGACAAAAAACATGAAAATTTTCTTATTAACTTATCTCACTTACGAATCACTTCAGTTCTATATCAAATTTGAATTAAAAAATTCTTATAAACACTCGAATATAACGCATGTGCTACCAATTATAGTAATTTGAGTTTAACGTACAGTATTTACTATCTTGAAGGAAATTGAAACATAAAATTTTATAAATTAATGGAAGTAATTTAGAAGGTTGCACAAACATCTAAGTTTGGGAGCATGTCATTAACTTTTTCCCGCAATTTTAAATTTATTCCCGAAAAATTTTCCTCTATTAAAAATCATGGATCGAATAATTATAAATATAACTTATTTTCGTTAAGTGATATCCAAAAATTATGAACAAATAATCGCTATGATTCAACCATATATACGTAAGATTAGTCTCATTAGTGTTAAGGATAAAAAAGTTAGGAGGAAACCTCCAAAACTTTGCTCTCAATGTAAGGAGACCGATAGTTGTTTCAAATTATTTTCTAATAAAGTCAATAGAATTGAAGAAATTGTTGATAATTTATATAACAATCTTCAAAAAGAGAAGATTGAAAATTTCCCGATATATCAGGCAAAATTTATTCTCAATAAAGTTCCTTGCGAAATAGAATACGATTTGTCAAATTTCACTTTAGAAGAATTAGAAAAATTAGGCAATTTTACAATTCAAAATTTCATAAGAGATAATTATTCACATTCTACCTCTTCTAATCAAAATGAGAATAAAAAGATTTCTCTCAATCATGTTCCTTGCGAATTAGATTTCACTTCAGAAATTAGTTAAAATTTTAATAATACATACCGACTTCTTACCTGCCCTAATGAAATGATGATTCCTATCGACTATAATTCCCATCTCATTTAACACTTTCGAATATTATGACTCCTTACGGCAAAATTGGCATTTTTAAGATATATTTATCGATTTAAGAACATCCTTTAAGACTATATTACGCAAGTAATTTTTCGTGTAAACGTTAAGATTTTTGGCAAAATTTTTTGAATTTATTAAACCTTTATACATTATTGATCGGAACTTTTCATCTTTTGATGATGAGAAAACTTGTATACACATATATCTAAAGACAATCCGCTTCTTTAGATAATAATGATCATTTTTGGTAATGTTTCTTAACTTTTTTTATCATCTATTTTTTTTAAAAAAAAATAAAAAGAAATAAAATTTTTAGTCCATGCAGATGCACTTATTACATCTGATTCTTCGTTCCAAAAATTACTTAAAATTTACTTTTAAAATTTCTTAATATCTGTCCCCCTCCCGGTAAACTAAAATCTAATAGTCTTAAATTGGTGATGGTGAACTCACCAAAAAGGAAAAGAGTGACAATGCATTTAATAATGTAATATCACTCTATTCGACTAAAATTCGATAACTTCGTGTCTAAATTTAATATCTAGAATTTTAAATTCAATCGAAAATCAATTTAAAAGCAACATTACTTTACAGAAACTTGGTTTTCTTAATACGCAGTAACTGCAAAGTGACTATATAGTTACTATCTTGCATAGTAGCTTAATCACAGCCTAATAGGTACTATGCAGTTACTGCATAGTAAGGAATAGTAAGGAAACAAAAGTTTCTGTAAAGTAATTTTGAAAGATTATTTTTACATGAAATTTGAAATCTAAAAGTGTGTAAATCAATCTCAGGTGATAGGAGAAAATTGAATACAAAGTATTTAAAAGGTGATTATTCGAGATAATAAGGAATTGGATCTGACAAAATCATACGACGTGAAATCATCCGATTCAAATTTCTTTTTTTTTTGCAAGTTTTTAATCGTTTAATTTTTTTTCCGCTCCGAATTACGAATGAAAAATAGTAATGAACGAAGGTTGACCTCATCATTAATAATCCGATCAAGTATAGTTAGTTAAATTTTCCAAAAATTAAATTAGATATCTGCTAAATTAATTGAGAAATTAAAATTTTGAGTTGTAATTGTTTTGACATAATGAGTAAATTTGCGCTGTATATTTAATAACTTTTCATTTTCTTTTTTTAAACTGGGAAGCTTCTACTAGTTCTTTATCTTTGTATATGTTGTGCGTCAGATGTCGATTTGCGTCAACTGAACAGTTGACATATATATGGTATCTTTGTTTCTGTAGAAAAAATTATCGATTGAAACTGATTATGATCGTCGAAGGACAATATTGTTTTGCTCAGTTCTTTGGGTTTATTTATTATAAACAAAAGCTGAAGGTATTCATTGCTGGGTAGTATGATGTAAAATTTATTTAATAAAAATTTTATCAAATCTGCTTCAACTTCGGCGCTCTGCACTTTGAAAACTGTTTATTAAATAAAAGTTATATAAACTTTAGAAATATCTTAAACTAAATTCAATATAAAGGTTTTGATAGTATTAGCAATTACATTCTAAATTTATATGATACAGTATTAAATATAAAATCGAACTCTTTACCAAATGATATATAATGTGTAACAAATAAATTGTTTATCGCAAACAATTTTCTGTCCTTAAAATATTTATAAAACTGAAACACGGGACGTAACGCTTTGTGATAACCCCTAACCCTAACCAATCCTGGTTAACAATAATTGGGGTTACCAATGATGTCATGGAATCAATTTATAAAAAGGCTTAACAACTTGATTAGTAAATAATTTAATTAATATCTTTCCATTTTTCTCGCTAAAGAATATTAAAATACAATATCTACAAAAGTCATAATTTCGTAAAAGTCATCTTTATACTCAGTAATTTTTTGCAGGCCAAGAAAAGATACTTCCAAACCTTTAGTTAATCTACAAAAATGAAAATAAAATGAAGATAAACATAATATTTTAATAATTATTTTTTTATTTTTATTTTATAACGATAAATGTTAATATATTGATATTTCAAGATCTGCAGGTAAATAATTTTAACTTAAAACTTTTCATTATTGAATTTATTATATGAAACTTTTTTTTTGCTATGTTTAATCCCAGTCATTGGAAACTCAATTTCATTTAATATTTATAATGCATAATTTTTATTGATCGATGCTTGTCTCAAGATTATAAAATATATCCAGCGTAAAATTATCCACGCACATTAGCATTTTCGGTTAACCCGGGATTTAATAAAAGTAACGATGTGATTGGTTGGAGAAATTAATCCTTTTTTCATGAAAATTTTTACTTTCAAATTAAAATAAATTAATTTCGATTACTGATTATTAAATACGTCATTCACTTATTATTAGAATACACACAAAGCTTGATTACTTTATTATTGAATACACAAATTTTGATCACTTTATAATAAAGTAATCATATAATTTACAATTATGTTAGTTTTAGATTATAACTTTGTGAAGAGGTACAAGGCGGAAGTTTAATTATAATATTGTTATTAATGCAAGTTAAAGGATTTCGGTTATTAGTACTAGATAAATGCTTTCGATTTTTGCCATCATTGAGGAATTAGTGGTTTAAAAGGTGCCGTTACTAAAGTCTTTACATTTCTTGATATATTGACTTGAATTTTGAATTTTTTGTGTTGCAGAAGCTTGAGCCTGAGTTGGAGTTATAGGAATTTGGATTTCTTGAACAGTAGATATAGGCAAACTTGATTGAACTGAATCATTATTTGAATCTATAAAATATTTTTTTGAGTAAATAAATTTATTATTAAAATTTTACTATACTAATTTCATTAAAAATTTAAATTTAAATCTTAAAATAATCATCAAATTCATATTCTTCAGAAACTGATTCTTGTGATATAAAAGGAATTAATAATTATATATTTAAAATGTGCTAATCTTCACTAGTTTTACCACCAATTTTACAATAATCAGCTAAACTCTCATGAAATCGATGTTCAGAAAATGATTGAGGGTTAGAATCAGAAAATCCATTATTTTTTAAAAGCTGTATTACATTATGATGATGTCAAGAATGATTTGTAATTAATTGCTTGTTATTAAGATTAATTCCAGTATTTGAGATGATTTTCATTATTTTTTTAAATTTTACATAATTATAGGATTATTTTTAAACCAATGACCTTTTTTAAAAATCTTAAAAAATAAAATTAGTAATAATTTAATAAATAATTATTAATTATTAATATAAAATATTTATCTTTTTCAAGTTTTATGAAATAAAAAATTTTGTGATATAGTAGAATTAGGTAATTTTGATAAATAAAAGAATATCTTTAACTGATATATATATTGATTATTAAATATATCTATAGATATAGAAATATGTCGTAAATTCATTTTTTCTATATTTATTTCTATAAAAAGCTTCACCTTGATTATTTTTTTCTTTATGTAATATTATTTTCCTTCTTGATAATATATAATATTTTTCCACAAATTTAATATGCATCACTACTACATAAACCACATAGTAAGCATAGTCTTAAAAAACGTGCTGAGTAAGTGATTCACTGATATTAATATCTATATATGATTATTAAGTATTTTTTTAATTTCTTTTTCAAATAAACCATCAGAATTTTAGGATCACTCAATCCTTTATCTTATAAAATTCTTATTTTTTCATCAAGTATACGAAAAGCATAAGAAAACTTGTAACAATTCCAAATTTTTATTGGTTAAAGAATATCATGCTCTTTAAGATATCTATTTAGTATACTATAACAATTATGTACAGATTTAGAATCATCTTCTTTTTTTAACCAAGTTATCAATTGACAAAGATAATCTTCAAGTTTATTAGCAGGTTCAATTAATTCTATAGCTTAAGATATATCACAACTTTTATTAAATCTTTTAATAACTTAATGCCGCTTTGCGGTATTTTTTTCAGTAGAAATGCTTGTTGTAATTCATTGATTTCCTCCTGTATTGGAAGTTGAGATGCTTTTGTAAAAATCATAATTTCTTTATAAGTTTTTTGAAAAATGTGAAAAAAAAAAGAGTGAAAAAAATGTGAGAAAAAAGTAATAATATATAAAAAAGGATCAGTGCTTACGTCATACATTTCCAATATAAATTATCTATCATCCACCACATGACCGATAATAATTACTAATCGGATGGAAGTAATTAAAGAGAAAATACAAAGAAAAGAAATATAAAGAATCAAGTAAACCAAGAAATGACGAGAACGGATTCAATAAAGTGTTAATACCATAAAAATTCGTATTTTTTACATTGGATATAATACCACCTGAAAAATATCATAATTTTCGTCAATTTCGAGCTTCATAATTTTAATTTCGTCGTTTTAATATTTTTTAGTTTATTTTTATTTTTTCCGATTATTATTTTGCGTAGTTTTAATTAATTAGCGTTTAGTGATTAGCTTTAGTTTGAGTTAATGAGCGTCAATGTTGAGGCAACATTGATTAATTATTTTTATTGAGTAACATTTACTTCATAATTATTTAATTGCTTATTAATAAAAACCTTCTGATTACATTTAAAATATTGTATATAAATACATAAACGAAAGTATTGAATACAACAGCATTATATTTCGAAATCATGAGATAAAAATTTTACATATAAAACTTGTTTGGCCGGGTGATGTGAACCGAAAATGCTAATGTGCGTGGTCTTATAGATGAACTTAAAGTATAATTTGTTTTTTGTTCTTAATGTATCATAAAAATATAAAACATAAGCAAAATAGTGTCTAGAAAAAGAATAAATATGCCAATTTTGCCAAATAAAAAATAATATTAATAAAAATAAAAAGAAAAATAAAAAGAAATAATATTACGATGATTCCGAAAATCAAATTAAAAGATTAAATAACATTATTTAAGATCGAAAAAAGTTAGAATAAAATAAGAATGCTCGGAATTTTTTGCCGTTAGAATGAGAATCGTCCTTTTTTATCATTTTTGTTAGGGGAGGTAAGACGTTATTATTAAAATTTTGAGTTGTATAATTTTCTGAAATGAAAGCGTTCAAATCATCTAATACACATGGAACAAGATTTCAAGAAAAAATTTTCATTCTCATTATGTTATGATTAGAATATTTGGGAGCTCGTCGAAAAATCTGAAAATTTCATTAATTTTATAATTTTAGCACATGACTGCGATCAGTCAAGTGGACCAATAAAAAAAAATTTTATCATGAGTTGTAAATTATTCTAAAAGTGAATTTGTCAAATCACATTCTAATTCACAAGGAACATTGTTGAGAATAAAATTTTCATTCTCATGATTATTATCGTCATTGAAATCTTGTGTTGCTGATTCTTCTAATTCATCTAAAGTAAAATTTGGCAAATTAGGAACATTATCAATAGTAAATTCTTCATTCTCGTTTTTTGTAGGGGAAGTATAAGATGGATATTTGTCAACATTAGAATTTTTTATTGTAAATTTTCCTAGTTTTTCTAATTCTTGTAAAGTGAAATTTTTCAAATCGTATTCTATTTCGCAAGGAACATTGTTAAGAGTAAATTTTTCGTTATATATTGAGAAATTTTCAGTCTTCTTTTTTTGAAGATTATTATATATATTGGCAACCATTTCTTCAATTCTATTGAATTTATTAGAAAATAATTTGTTAAAATTATCGGACTCGTTACAATCGGGGCAAAGCTTTGGAGGTTTTCTTTTAGTCCTTTTATTATCGTCAGTGAGATTGATCTTTCGAACATATGGTATCATAATTGGTTTTTTTTTATAGTTTTTGTTTGACATGATGAAAGAAGGAAAATTAAAGCTTATTATTATCGAAAAAAAGACCATTTAATTTCGTTTAAATATTTTGGAAAACCTAGGGACTGAAACATCATATTTGAAACAAATATGGGAGGTAAATCATGTTTCGGATATGATTTACTATGTTCGTAACGATTTAAATAGCAAACCTCATTCTCGAAATTAAATTTCGGAAATTAAATCACTGACAAGGGGCTAATTACTTAAATAAAGTGAAATAATAAAATTTTTTTCATTCATTTAGTTTAATATATTGACATTGCGAAAGTGTAGAGTTCCAACACTAATTAATTGATATTTTAAATAAATTATTCATCACAATTACTTCATTTATAATTAAATCCTTCTGCTTACAAATACAAATTGTTATAAAATATTAAACGAAAAAACTGAATACAACAGTACATTTAGATACCAAAAGTATGTATTAAAATTATGTAAAATCCGATAATTAAAAAATACCATGTTGCAGTGTTGTCCATTTTCCATGTCCCAAGCATTTTAAGACAGTCCCACACTATGTCTCAAGCTGTCCCATATTATGTCCCAATTGTCCCAAGCACATCTGGGACATGTCCCAGCACAACACTGCCATGCTGTGCATTTTTCGAAAATGAATTGGAGCTTAACTGTGACTAATGAGTTGAATTTAACTGATGGGATTCTTAATTGCTGTTGAACATTCTTCAATTGGAATAATTGCGTCTACGTCATCTTCACCAAACGACATATAAGATTTCCTACTTCAATTGACAATATGGATCGTATAATAAAATTCCTGGATAGTAAAGTTTATGATTCCGACGGACTTGTAATCGAACCGTACTGGTTTTCTATCTACCCGGCTTGATACTCATCAATGCGCTTGGAATAAAAAAATTTGCATAAAATATCGAAAACCATGATAATAGTGAAAATTTATTTTCCAATTAAATTTTTCTTTGAAATGAAAAAGTTACCGGATGATGAGAAGTGTATCCTACTTATTCGTCATAATTTGAAAAAAGGTTGTTTGATCTTGGAAATAAGGTATAAACTTTTGAAATGTATAAAACAAATTCACTAGAGATGGTCTTTCAAAAACGCTGCTTTTTCCGTGGGAAAATTCCTCCATGTTCGCCATTTCATTTTTGCTTTTGTTTTAAAGAGGAAATCCTCGTAAGATTCTCTTTGATTTCATGGTGCTTTGCTGAGGAAGTGAAAATAACGATTATATAGCGAGAATTGTAATCTTAGCATCTCAGATAATTGTGTTATAAAAGAACAAATGATTTATCACTCTTTCTTTAATAAAGAGGTTAAATCTTCCGAGTAGAGTCTTGACTCGTATTCGTGTGATTCGAGTTAAATTCAAAATTTTATGGACTCGAATCTTGATTCGAGGGTATTCGAGTAATCTTGAATTATATTATATTAATTCGAATCTAGGTTCATGCTTGGTCGAGTTAACTACCCGAATTCTTACTCGAGCTAACTAAATAGACTTCGACATTTTATTAAGTTATTATACAATTATTTATTAAATTCTAGCCTGATTTAGTAGGTGAAATGTTATTTTTAATAAGAAATATGTCTTTTTGATAGTATTTTTCCACCAGAAGATACATAACCCGATGTTCTTTCTTGGCGAAAATTAATAAAATTTACTGAAATTCCTGTAAATTCAAACAATTCTTGTGTTAGTTTACATTAATAAAATCGTTACGGTATTTTGATCATTAATTAGTATAAATCATAAATTCATTGTTAATGTAAAATTTAAGGTAACGCATCGTATAGATTACAAAAAGTATATATATATATATATTTAAATTGTATTCATGAAAATTTGCGCTAAAATTCGTATTACAATTATTATATAATACATCAAAATTCATGATGAATAATTGCGCCATACTTTCAAAGAAAATGTTATTTTGATTCCAATACTGCTTCAATTAAAAATTTATGCATAATTTAATAAATATAATATATTGATTACAAAATATAAAATAAAATTTCATTAATTATTTTATTTTATGTTATTTTATTTATTTTTTTCGCTAATAAATGCTATTGTCGCTAAATTTCCAAATTAGGCGATAGCCCGTCCCTGAAAACAATTGAACTCGAGTTAATACTCGATACACAGTATTCGAATGATAACTCGAGTCAGATGCTCGAATCCTAAACTCGAATTCTGACTAGAATTCTGACTCGGGTACTCTTCGAGTCAAAAAAATTCTTGACTCTACTTGACTCGAGTTAATTTTTTTTTGACTCGAGTCCAATGACTACTTCCGAGGATGTTTTTGTTATTAGAAATGATAGAATTATCAAAGTGATACCACAAGAAATATCATTCCACCACTTGATTTATCCTCGATGCTTCTACGTCACCAACGGATTGTATGGTTCCACTGGCGTTTTAGGCTTTGATACGAATGAAATGATTGTTTATAATTCTGAACCTTGGGTACATGACAGACAGTATTTCAGTTTATCTTGATGATGATAAATCCATCCAATTGATTATTGGAGAACCAACGTTCAAGTATGGCATAAAAGATGTGCCCTTCCACACACTCTGATTATATTTGGACAATTGATTTTGTAGACGAAAGCAGAATCAGTCTTTGGAAGTTGATCATAGGGAATTTTCTTTAACGTTGCAAATTCCAAGAATTTTTTCTTGGAAAAGAGAAATTAAAGAAATCGACCTTGAGGTTTCCATCCGACGTACAAAGGGAGATTATCGTAAAGATACAGTTATAGTTAACAATTGGAATTTTATTTTCTGTTAATGAAATATTTTTTTGGCGCTAATGAGCTTTATTTTTAAAAATGTTATATTCTTACGCCTTAACGTTAAATGTAAATATGGGACTTAACAAGAAAAAATGAACATAAACAATAACAGAAAAATATTTCTAAGGAAAACAAAGGTAATCTTTGATTGCAATTAATAAGGTGTTTAAAAAAAAATATCACGGCAAGAGGAAATAAAACTTTTCTCTTTTTATTAAAAAACAAATAATGATAATGATAATGATAATGAAGATTTAAAGATAATGAGCTTATAATTCAACAATGGCTGGCTCCTCACTTATGAATCAAGTTTTATTTGGTTCCACTCCCAAATTTCACTAGCCCTGATCAAAATTGATCGGGTTGCATTTTAGATCGATTTGTGTTTACAAAATTTATCCAATAAAATTTCTTTATTTTAGATCGCGTATTGAACTGCTTTATATTTTACTTTTATATATTTCTTTTAAATGTCGCATAAACATCAAGTTATATAACCCATTAAAATATTATTTGGATTAGTTGTCATTTCGAAGCTGGACTTTTGACTTTGTAGAAGAAAAGCAGGTATAGAATTTGGTGCTAAATCCAAAGGTCTTGGTGTTAATTTCTTTGCACTAAAGGTGCTGGTTCTAAAGGTCTGTTCTAGTGCTAAAGGTCTTTACGCTAAAGGTTTATGAAGTTTGTTTAACTGTTTTAAGGCTTTGAACGTTTTGAATTTTCCGAGAAGACATGTTTAAAAAACGCGTAAAAAAAAGATAAATTCGAAAGTATGTGAAAAGACAACTCCTCAAAATCATTTATTTTTTTTTTTTTGACTGGTTATTGTTCGCGTTCGATCTAAAAGCTCAAAAAAATTTAGGCCTGAAATCGGTCGTGTAGCACAAACTGATCAGATCGAAAAATGCGATCACCCCTTTAAACTCAAAATCATTATTTTGGTCGTAATTAAGACAGGAGAAAAATTGAGTCCGTTCTTGAGAATGATGACAATGCGGAAATTTATAATAATCCATCAATGGCCGTAATAATTGATTTAAGTGGAACGAGGGCAAGAAATCATTTCCTGAGACGAATGGTGATAAACTTCATAATATATGTGCTTTAACAGATGGAAAGCTGGTGGTCATGTGATTGAAATGTTATTGGTAAGTGGAATTTCTGACTTTACCTATTCGCGATCTAGTAATTCCAATAATTAATATCCTAGCAACGTTCCTGGTTTTTTATCTTATTATTGGTCCTCAAATTAGTCATGCAATGTAAGCAGGATTTAAAATATTAAAATATTACTTTTTTTATCATAAAAAAATAAAAAATTATAGGAGTGCCTTTAACTTGCAATCAAAATTGCAATCAAGAATTTTAGGTATGTTTTGCCTAATGATACAGAAATCATCATGCCTGGAAAAATCCTCCTGCAAAATTTTACAATAGTGTAATCCCGGATGGTGATCCTTTACCGGAATTAATATCGGATATTGAAGCGGTCTTTTAATGACAAGTGGACTACGATTTTGTAGAACATGTTGATCGCAATCATGACGTAAAGATTGTAACCTTTTTTTTTTTTAATAAGCCGGCTCAATTTTTAATGGCGCGTATAATGACGCGAAAAGGTTAGTGAAAATGCTGTATTGAAATACCGAGCGGAATTGATCGCTGATTATGAGAAAATTGAAAACCCATTTGGTAACTAATGAGGAAATCCACGATGTATTTATTGCTTGTATTACAATGAAGAAAGGTTAGAGAAATTTCTTGTCTGAAATTGAAGCCAATTTTGATTATGATGATGATGATGGAGTAATTCTCAATAACTTACGGATCCAAATTTGATATTTCCATTATCATTATATTGGTTTGTTGATGAGGATGAAAATGTTAAGACTTCATTAAAGATTGAGCATTTTAATGATTATGTACCCAAAGATGTCGTTAAGATGAACTTATCCTAAAAACCTTTCATTGAGAATTATACGCATAATATTAATACCATATTAAAATATGAATGGATCATACGTAAACATGAATGCAAGAAAGAGAAAAACGCTGCAAGAAAGATTTGCTGAGAAGTTAGATTCGATTAACTTCATTATTTCATTTATTAAAACTGATTATTAGTATGGAATAACAGACGTCTGTATAACAAACAATGTGATACTTGATTGACAAAAACAACACTGGCTTGTGTAACCTATTACATAATACTTTTGAACAACGATCCCAGTCTTCCAAAATAAGTTCACAACAAATCAATTTCTGCAATTAGTTGTTAACAAATTAACAAATTAATTTATACACAAAGGTGTTTTGAAAATAAGGTGCAATCTCAACGACGTGACGTAATACGTAATATAAGTTGTAACCCATTAAGTTAATTCCAACATACCAAAGAAAGAAAGATGGAACCAAAAAGGATGTATATGAAATACTGTTAACGTAATAATAAATACTCAGTTTTTTAATTTAATTTAAAATTATAATATTTAGTGTTGTTCAGTACATATGGATTAAAATCACATATGATTTATATGGTTTGAACATTTGATTTTCTTTGGGAAACTTAGTACTTGTGTGACGATACATTATTTTATGATAGAAAAACGAATTGTCAAAATTAGGGAGTGGGGTGGAAAAAAAAAAAATTTTAGATATGAAGAAATTAATGTTAATGGTTAACATGAAACTTTAATAAATTAGGAATTTTATAGAGATTTAGAAACGTATTAAACGAAAAGAAAGTTTGTGAAAAAGTTTTGATCACATTCGTCCATAAATTATAATAAGTTTGTGCCTAATAAATAATAAAATTTTGTTCTTCTCCTAGCTCAAAATTAAAATATACAGTATATATATATTTATTTATTTATTTCTTTATGTACTTTGGTATTGTTTTTTTTGTTTTGTTTGTTAAGATTTGCCAAAAATTCTCGTTTTAGTCTCCGTGCAATTCCAAACAAGTGTATCTATAAAGATTTATTTCGAAAAAAAAAAAAAAATTTTGTAAATCTATTTTGAAAAGACAAAATAATTTCTTACTCACACTTACCGCAAATAAAATCACCAAAACAATTAAGAAGGATTTTGTCCAAAGGAAAACATTTTCTTTATGATTACAATGATCCGAGGAATCCATCTTTATACATTGTTCAATTGATACATGTTTACTAATAAACATGTATATCGCTGTTGGTATGGTTATGATTAAATAGATTATCACGATGCCAATTAAACAATTTACGTATATGGTTACTGCTCCTATTGATCTCTTTAATAAAAGAAACTTGTTAGGGATGTTAATAAAAAAAAAAATTTGTTAGAATGATAAGTACTTACGAAACTTGTTCCAATAATTCCAAATATTATTACAATTGAAACAATTAATAATAAAGTTCCAAAAATGATTGCAAGTGTATGTGGCATTTTAATTGCAATATCTGTTCCTCCCCAAAAATTTTTAAGTCGTGGATTCTTTAAAGAATAAAAAAAGACCCGAATTATAGTAAGTAAAGCATACCGTCCGATTTTACAAGAAATAATGTTGATCCAAATGTCGAAATCATCTAGTAAAATCATGTTAATTTTAAAGGGATGCAAATATCAACATGGAAAAAACAAATATTTTTCTTCTTTTGATTTTTTTTATTTACCAAATTTAAGATCGAAAAAAATATAGTAGCGTGCCAAATCGGGAGACTGGTTCAAATAAAAAATGTAAAATATAAAAAGGGAAAAAGATAAAGAGGAGGAGGGAATGTCTAAACATACCAACAACAACATCCACACATATTGAATATGTTTTTGAAAACTCAAAAAACCAATAATACGTTAATCCTCGTTTTTTCTTTTTTTTAATTATCATCCAAGTTCTGAAAAATCAAAAGGAAAAAAAAATTTTTTTACACTCTTAAATTTTCGACACGCATGAACCATGTTCAGGCTTATATGATTTGTAAACAAGGCAAGATTTAGTTTTTTTTTAAAAAAAAAAAAAAGTGATTTTAAGCCTTAATCATGATATGTTAAAAGGCACTAGTAATTTGGCTTTGATTTTTGTACCCTGACGGCCATGAAAATTGGGCTTCGCGATCTTCGTATGACAAAATGCATCCCGAAAATAAAGCAGGTTTGATTTTTTTTTGATTTGTTTGATGTTATAAAGAAACAATAATATTACATAATCATTTAATTTTAAGTGCATGAAAAATCTATGACATAAGAGATTCCTTCTTCTTTTAATAAGGAAATAAGGAAATAACAAAGAAAAAAAAAAACTCTTCGTTTTGTCGCTATAGGAACTATAGAAAGTTTTCACCAGATTAAACGTTTTGTCATGACATATTTTTTTTTACTAAAATGTCTAATCTAATTTCTACGAGAAAAAAAAAAATATTATTCATGTCCGCAGAAATCTAACAAGTTTTAACACAAAAAAATTCGCTTTGTAAAATGCGTGTATTAGTAAAATTTTCCTTATTATAATAAATTACATAGGTTTATAAATTGCATATTAAATATTCTATTTAATTAAAATAAGTAACTTTTCAACATTTCTTCGCGTATATTCTAATAAATAAGATCAAGAAATTAGAAAATTATTATTATTATTTACCAATGACGATTTAAGTTATTTACCTGTGAGAAATACAAGATGTTTTGTAATCGTTTATTTCTTGTAACATTATGATATACATTTCGTCAAATTCTTTGATGCAAATTCCCATATATTCGCTTAACGCGGATTTATGGGATTTTAACGGTTGTACCAATACATCACATAACTATGTCGAAGTAAACAAAAAAAAAAAAAAAAACGGTTAAATTCCAAAATTTCATCAAAGAATGAGGATTTTTCTTCTCACTTACCAATTCACCTATCCTTCCACCGTTGGCGCCCAATAAAGTGTGTTTATCTTTTATGACAATGGATTGAATTCGTTGGGTAGAAATCAACATATTGTATAATTGTTCCTCATCAATTCTACTACATTCACGCCCATTATTTGTGTATGAATCATAAGCTTGAGTCAAGCGAGATGTGTATGGACCAGAATTATACAAACGTAAATCAAATATCATAAATTCAACCCATCCGCACGGTTTCAATACCCTAATCATGTTTTTAATCAAATTGGATTGTTCATTCAAACTTGTAATTAATTGTGGGAGAAAGAATCGTTGACATATAAAATCGAACGTTTCATCAGGGAAAGGAATTATCGATGAAGCATGCGTTCGTAATACGGTTGCATTCAATGGTTCATTATTATTATTACTTTTATCGTCGCAAGCTGCGAAGTTATTTAATCCTATGAAGGTGGATAATGGATAATTATTTGCCATGTCGAATGTCCATATTTCAGACGCTAATCCAACCTCCAATACTTTCATGCTACCAGCTTGAAGTTGTTCCGTTATGGGCGTAGAAAAATTATTTTTCCAGAGGTATTTAAATAAATGATGTTGCATTTCTAAAATGTATATGCAAGGATTACGAAGGGGACAGCTTGATATTGAAGGATTTCCTTTATGTTCAAGGATTTTTGGATGTTCATAATTGATAAGTGATTCATGTGGATAATTATCAAACTGTATCATTTAAAAAAAATTTTTTTTAAAATAATAATAATAATAATAATAATAAATGAAAAAAAAAAAAAAAAAAATAAAATAAAATTTTTTTTTTTGAAATTACTTTTGGAATTCATATCCTCATCTCATTTAAATAAATACTTAATTAAT